CATCCATTGGTCCATGTAGGTAGTCCTTGAACCCTATTCCCTCCTTCAACATTTCGTACACTTCTAGGCCCTCCTTATCCTTGGATTCTTTCCTTAGATTCTGTTCTTCTCTCTCGGCACAAGCAACAGATATCTTCTCCTTGAACCCCTGTAGACCCTCCGTTTCCAGCGTTTCATCTTCGTCGATGTCGAGCCCCTTCCATACGTCCTCTACAGGCTTGACCCATTCCGTGGGCTGTCCACCCCTCTTTTTGTTTGCCCACTTCGCCTCCCATACAATTCTCGGCAACCTCTCCTCTCCCATCCCGCACATGCGATACTGCCATGTCAGCTTCCTCGCGTCTCTTCCCGACCGTAGGGATTGGATCCCCAATTCTGCCTTGACGGCTGCATTACCTGTGCGCTTGGAGCATCAGGATGATTTTCGCTACTTTCATCTTCGCCGCCTCGACTTCTTTCACTACCTTCTCATTTACTTCCCATACTTGTCCGGCGTACTCTAACGGCGGTACGATTACGCTCTTCAAAACAGTCAGTTTGATGCGTGTATCGAGGTGCCGGTTTGCGAGTATTGGGTGCAGTTTCCTAGGGCGGCTTGTTTTACAACGTCGTTGCCACGCGACAAAAACCCAACCGGGGGGTGCAAGTTTGGGTGAACAGCACACGGTTGTGCTCTGCAGCGGGCCGAGGAGACCGTGCGAGTTGGTTGTTTTCTCTGCTGGGGCATCCCTCGGACAGACGAGGACTGAAGTATGTACCCTTGGTCAACCTGGTAGCGCGGTCACGCACCAGCAAACTGCTGCTTATGGCGTTCTTTGCCGTTCACGAGTATCATACAACGCATATGGCACCTGAATCGAGCGATTGGATCGTTTGTGGTCCAATCTTCTCCGCGGCCTCCCTGTTGTAGGAACCTGCTGACCGCTGACTTAGATTGCATTTATGCAATGCATTGGTCAGCAGGTTGATGTGTTTGATGCTTATCTGAACGAAACAAACACCGCCAGGAACGCCTCGCACTTTCTGCTGTCGTTTGCGATTGTACTTTGAATCCGGAGACTGGAACCAGTCGTCCAATCTCTTCCGCGGTTCCCCTGTGCAGGGAGCCCGCTGCTAGAAAGCTAGAAAGCAGTTCGTGAACGATCAAATTCATTAGTCAGCCGGTATCGCAAAACGAGCTAGATAAGCGCAATACAAAGCACATTTATCGCGACCGCTCGCGCTGGAGCCCACCAGGTCGGACCTTAACTCCATCTAGAGAGCATCCGATTTTCCATTTGTTGTTTGCTTTTTGCCTTCTCTGTGTGGTCATGGGTTGTTTCGGATCATAACACGGTCATGTTATGCTTTCGCTACAAGGCAAGGCTCAACCCGGGAGTGATTTTGGACTGGAAAGAGCAAGACGTGTCGCTTGGTGCTCAGGGAGTCTTGGTGCGCCAAACGGTTAAGACGTGTTGGCGTCGCTGAGCGGTCAATCTCTGCGACAACAGCAGTGTAACTCGTGTGATTTTCGGGGGACTGCGCGGGAGCCGATACCCAACTTTTTGGTTGGTGGGAAAGTTTTGAAATACACGAATAACAACAACGGCAGCAACTGCACCAACAATGTTGGTGGAATATGAACGTTGGATTTCCTTAGTGCCCACGGGGCGGCCACACAACATTGGCAAAAAAAACGAAACAAAAAACAACACCCTCGGCATTCTTTAAGGTATGGGAGCACACAATCGAGCTGATGATCCCAGGATGTTACACAGGATTGTCTTGACGTGTAAGTATTGTGCTTCCGGCACCAGCTACACCAGTGGAAGCATCAAACCTAGTTGTGACACATGACACGCAGAAGTTGGCTTGACGGCTGGCGAACGGCGAATGCTAATGCTGTCACGGCCAAGACGGGCATGGATTCCTTGATCTCGAAGAGGTTGATCTGAAAGAGGTTCCTCGGGCTTGTTTTCTCGGTTGTGTTCCGAACAGACCCCGACGACTTTGGACGAGACGACAGGAACAGGCCCAGCAACGGAAGGGACGGTCGCGACGGCGAGCGAGCTGGAGAGAGGGGTACACGCCGAGAGCAGGGGGGAGACAGAGGAAGGTCGCGCCGCGTTGAAGGAAGCAGGGAGCGGGGAAGGCGCGGAGGAAGCGATGCGTATTATCGGCGTAGTGCGAGCTCGGAGCGGTCAAGCCGAGCTCGTCCACCGGATGAAAGGAGACCTTCGCGATGGGCAAACCCTGTTGAAACGAACACTGTGCACGACCGCAACACTCATGGAATAGACCATAGCAACGGCGGTGTCTATGGACCAGGTGTGGCATTATATCGTCTAACAAATACTTCGATATACTTCTAAGTATCTGTTTCTGCTTTGAGGGTCTTGCGCCCCGGCTCGTTCACATGTGTTTCCACTTTGTATGCTGTCCTCCACCGACGGACCCATTGGTTGTGCGATCGCCTGCGCTGCTTGTGCTACTTCACGCATCTGTACAGAAGAAAATGTTCCGGACCATGTACAGTATGCTCGCCGAAGAGTGGTGCTACACGCTCCTCGTTTGTCCGTGCCTTCCTCAACCTGGCGCTTGTCACAAACCGCACAACGCGCATCTGATGTCGCACGCACCTACAGCCCGGAACATCTAGTTGCATGTCGTAAACGTTGTTCGAAAAAACACTCAGACAAGCATTCGTTTGATGCACCAGGCTCCCATAACAGCGCTCACGCTGACATTTTGAACTCCTTGCAGCCGACACTGGCCGCCCGAGCGGCGGTGGTCGAGGCTGGGGTGGTGGAGGAGGGGGAAGAGCGCAAGGCAACAATGGTGCCCCCAGGGACGAATCGTGGGTGGAGCACCGCCTGAAGCTTCGGGCGGATGCTAGAGCGCCCCGAGGAGTATGGAACAGGTCTCCTTCTCCTCCGAAAAAGAAAGACCCGAAGCCCGCCCCGGTAGCTGTTGTCTCCAAGAAAATCCAGAGCAAGACCCGACGGAGGGAGAGTGGCCGCAAAGAGGCCCGGCCTAAGAAAACATCACAAAAGAAAAGCGCCAAGCGGAGGCCACGCCGAAGACGATCTCCGTCGGTCTCGTCTTCCTCCGAAAGTGACAGCAGCAGCAGCAGCAGCAGCAGCAGCAGCAGCAGCAGCAGCAGCAGCAGCAGCAGCAGCAGCAGCAGCAGCAGCAGCAGCAGCAGCAGCAGCAGCAGCAGCAGCAGCAGCAGCAGCAGCAGCAGCAGCAGCAGCAGCAGCAGCAGCAGCAGCAGCAGCAGCAGCAGCAGCAGCAGCAGCAGCAGCAGCAGCAGCAGCAGCAGCAGCAGCAGCAGCAGCAGCAGCAGCAGCAGCAGCAGCAGCAGCAGCAGCAGCAGCAGCAGCAGCAGCAGCAGCAGCAGCAGCAGCAGCAGCAGCAGCAGCAGCAGCAGCAGCAGCAGCAGCAGCAGCAGCAGCAGCAGCAGCAGCAGCAGCAGCAGCAGCAGCAGCAGCAGCAGCAGCAGCAGCAGCAGCAGCAGCAGCAGCAGCAGCAGCAGCAGCAGCAGCAGCAGCAGCAGCAGCAGCAGCAGCAGCAATGACAGCAGCGGCGACACCAGCAGTGATGAAAACGCCAATCAAAACCGGAAGCGTCATTCGTCTCCAAGCAAATCGGTGAGAACTCAGTATCAAGTTATTTCATTGTGCCAGGTTAACTCATTGAGGATTAAAACCTAAGTTTGCTCAGCACACCGTTTTCGAACATGGTTCTCGATCTCTCGTGCCACCGATGTAGTTAAGCGAAACACAGACCTAGAGCATGAAGGTAGCTGAATAGTTTTCTGGAGCGCATCGCGTCATTGTTTGTCGTGTGTGATATTCGTGTGCATAGAAGCAGGAGGTACGCCCCAAGCGGACATTTTTTGGCAGATGCGGCCTAGGAACCTGGGGACCCTGCCCGTCATTGTTTTGCTTCCAACCGTGTTGACTGGGAGCGCTTCCATTTCAGGAGGTCGTCCGGTCTCTGTTTCACAGTTAGGCCAAAGAACGGGTATCTTCTCTTGGCGGTTGAAACGAGAAACATCCCCCAAGCCACCCATCGCAGGTTCCAGCGACACCGTGTTGTTGCCTTTTACCCGTCCGACTTGAGTTCTCGGCACATGAGCTGCGTTCAAGTATGGCTGCTTGTTAGGTATACTACTTTGTGTTGTTGAACGTACATTCAGACGCCATGTCATCTCCAGTTTTGCAGCCGATTTTCAACGAGTAATCCTACGCGTCTGAATACCGTCCACGCACCGAGACCAGAGTGCCTTCCCTTGGTTTTTCAGACATTTGGGTGACGAGGGGCGCGGGCGGGTGTGGACCTTTGGCTCCGGGGTGACGTACGAGGCCCATTCCCGGGGCTCTCGCACAGGTTTTGATCCCAGGGACAATTACATGTCTCTTCAAGTGCGAGGGGGGCGGGGCAAAAAAATAATCCCCTGGGGTTAAAACACGCGATGCTGAACCGTGGAGAGTCACCATGAAGATCCTGCTGTTGTTGCCGTTGTCTTGACATTAATAGTCTATGCCTTTCGAATGTGTGTTTGGTACCCCTCCTCCGTGCTCCTCAATACAAATGAATAATTGTCATGGTCAAAAGCTCGTTCGGTTCGATTTGCAAACCTACGTTGGACATGAGTTCTAGGCCTGTGTGAAGACGGTGCTCCATGATTTCCACGCGAAGGCTTGAACCAAACTTGCGATGCACGGCGTACCCCCCAAATGTGGACTCATGACTGCAAATGCAAGGAATCGTAGCTTTCCCATGACGCCCTATACGCTGCGCAACACGCCGGTATACGAACCTTGGTTCTCCGCTCGCCCCAACCTGCGCGAACTTAACTTCTCCCCCTCAGCCTTTTAGTGATTGATGTCATTCGACACACGTCCTGTGCTGAGCTGCACGGTTACCGTATTTGCTGGTCATGTTCGTTGGGCAGGTAGGAAGATTGCATGTACATATTTGTTCGTTCACGCATGGCACATCGGGCTTGGGCAGCCGTCAACTAATCGCGTATGAGATGCCCTCTGGCGTGGCGTGTAAATGGCTGGGCGTGATGTCGACTCGACAAAACCATGTTTGTCAAACCCGACTGTTCCTTCCTTCTCTCGATTGCCGAACTTACCCAGCAGGAGCAAGGGAAACCCAAGGTGCCGAGATCGACATCCCCCCAACACACGGGCCGGGTTGCCGAGGTTGAGGTCAACGCCACTGGGCTGAACACGATCACTATGCCCCCGGAGATGAATGAACTGGACGCTGCCGAGGCGGCACAATTCAAAGCTGATGTTCAGGGTCATCGCCATCAGGAGGTGGGTCAGCCGTTATAGACAAAGGACAGCCTCCGAATTCATTCGCTACCTCCTGCACTGCATGCTGTCTCAGGAGATTTGCAAAGTGAAAAACGTCTTTCCTCCCAGTACACAGCAGAAGCATATACGGTCTGAGAGAAAAAAAGAAGACAACGTACCGATTTGAGAAAGTCCAACGGGGTTGTCACCACCAACGTCGTTACAAAAAAGGATATGTCTCAAATCTGAGAGCTTCTCTTGAATTGAATCTCTGAGAAACAGCCGCGTAGCCAGGTGTGGTTGGGTGTGTGTAGGGTAGGGTCCGTGGGCTCGCGTTGGAGAAGAGGTGTGGCTATGAGTAACGTACAGCGAACGCGTTGATCCATGTGCAAAAATCAGTTTTGTATCACACGAGATCATGGTATACTTCCCATGGTCAGGTATCAGGAGTTTACCGGGTACTTGCGGTGGGTATATATTGCTTGCCAACAAACAGATTGAGCTATGTGTGGAGCTAAACAGCACAAGGTGCTGACGCTTACGATGTAACATGAATGACATGCCCTCCACAAGCTCGTCCATCTTCCACGGACCTTCGAAGTGCTGCCGTTTAAGGGAACAAAATCTTAAAGCCATTTTCACGGTTCAAGAGAATGTTCCCCTAAACCGTAGCTAGCACTGTAGAGAAAGACGGATTGAAGAGAAGAAAATTGACTTGTCACTACCCTCTCTGAAACCGTAGCCGCTTGGTATCGAAGAACTGCTGATGTTTCGTTTGCTGTCTCTCACTCATTAAACACGGAAGGCCATTTGGTTCTTCCGTGGCCCTTGACTGGCTTCCAACGTGCTTGCCACACCCTGAACCCCCGGAAATCGGTACCGTATTAGCTGGGTCAGGGTGAACGCCGAGTTTTTGTTCCACAGCAATTTTCATGCGACTGTTGGAGTTGGACCCTTATTCGTTGCACACATATGTGTGCACGTCCTTGATCACGATTCGATGAACCTTTGTTTATTTCGTTCTCCAGTCATCCAGGGCCCCAAAGTTGTGTGGGTGTCATGTGGGTATGCCGGCACGCCGCTGATATCTTTGCCCACAACAAAATAAAAATGTCTTACCCAGAGCGGTTGGATTGCAGCTACATCGCAGGGAGCGTTTCGAGTTTTTTTTTTTCGCATTCGTGCAAAAATGCCTCAAGGTGACCGTGCAGAAACACATTTTCCCTTTCACCAGTTTTACTGAACAACGCCTTTCCGACGAACGGAAATGAAGTAGTTTACCCCCCACGGCGTGCTCTTTGCGGATTTTTCAGGATTCAAATACACAAATGCAAACTTTGAGGACCTAACTCGAAAAGAAACCCGCGAACTATTTCCTATTTTGTGCGATCAAGCCTGATGCTCTGGTACCACCCCATATCTTCTGTTCTAAGGTTGAGTGTCAAATCGATTTTTTGCGGGGTCGTCAGAGCAAGTATCGGCCAAATAGCATCACATAGATGCATTTTCTAATTCTGCAATATAATTTGGTGAGCGCATTCCTTAATCAACATAGCGACGGGAGCGTAAGTTTGGAGTCCTTTGGGTTCGAATTGAAGCATCTGAGGCCCGGGAGCCCTACCGTTGAACCCTGAGTAGCCGATAAGCCTGCCTGAAACAGAGCAGTCTCGCCAAGTTTTTATCTTGTATTATCATCTCATCTTGCCAAATGTATAACGACGGGTCAACAAGTTGGGCCGTAGATAAGCGAACCAATTTCCGCATACGACTCAAGATACCACACCCACATCACACGGGACACCCCCCCACAGAATACAGAATACATCACCTTGTCCTAATGTTTTTGGATCTCAAACAAGGAGCCGAAATATCACCCGGGTTACTGAGTATATCACACCTCCTGAGTTAATGGCACACATTTTGCCCATAGCACATGCTACTATCACCCCGACGATGACACAGAAGGGGTCCCTGATGACGTACAAAATGGCCCAGCAGAACACGTACGAAACAAACCCTGAGTGCGGGAAACCATCCCTTATGGTTATTCAATTCAAAGAACCCAACTAAGCTGTCGTAGACACTCGGGAGCGGCTGTTTCAACTTTGCCCCGAAGTGAATAATTTATATGTATCCCAGAGATCATAGCAGCGGCTTGTCCAACTTGACATATTGCACACAACGTGCGACCTTGAAAACCATCGCTTTCGCACGTAACCCAAATTCTGAGAACCGTATCAACATGCGCAGGACAGATAGCCTTTTCACCGTCCGCCATCTAAACGAAAGCGACAGCAAAACATGCGCTACCTGTGCACCGATCACACCTGCTGGGGAGCGTTGTGGTACTTGCGTTGCCCGTCTCTGCCCCGCTTCCACTACCATTGGTCGCTATGGAGCTGATTTTTTTCTATTCTAGAGTATAGATGCCACCATTTGGCACACGTCGACCCGAGGACCGAATGCAGAACATCATCGCGATAGGCTTGACCGCGGCAGAAACCGGTCTAATCCGACCCAACCCCGTGTATGCCACATTTTCCTTTCTCCCACATGAAGCTCCACCGACCGACCGTGTTTCCTTCGTTTTTTTCGGGTTTTCCCTTTTCTCATCGAATTCCATGCCTAGCTACCTGAGAGTCTCGTCCTTTTCCTCTGTGGTGTTTTATCCTCACTGCTCATGCGAGGGTAGTGTGGTCTTGTTTCCCTCCAGTGCATACTAACCCTGACTCAGTGCTCAGAATTCCAGAACTGCCCCGATTTTCGGCCTTATAAACCGTTGGGAAAACTCAGAACTAAAGTGGACAGAGTTTAATGAGGAAACCGTCGGGATCACCGTCTGTTAAAACGTTGAAATTATTCCGACTCGTTTTTTTTCTTGCTGCATGGCATTCTTCTTGGCATATCCTGCAATGCACAATTTCGACGTGTGCTATTGAAGGCTGATCTTGGATTTCTGGCACCACGTGCAACTTTCGCAGGAGAGCGACGAAGACGCGGGACCTATGCCTGTCCCGCAGCTCGACGAGTTGCAGGGAGAAGGCGAAAGAGGTGTCAACTACGGTGGGGCACTTCTACCAGGAGAGGGTGCCGCTATTGCCCAGTTCGTGCAGAAAGGTCTTCGAATTCCTCGCCGTGGTGAAGTGGGCTGGGCTGGCCAAGAGATCGAGAAATTGGAGGAGTCCGGGTGAGTCGCATTTCCGTCGCGATTCCTGTTCCCAATTGGATTGTTGGCTCTGCTGCTCTTGATTTTGTGCGTTGCGAAAGTAAACGACACCCCGTTACTTCTTTCTGGCGAATCTCCAGGCATATGTAGTACTACTTCATCGAGTAGACGCTTGAGAGAGTACGGTACGACTGTAGTGCGCAGAAACTCACGTCAATCCAATGGCGATGGTACCAGGAGCTCTGGTACCGGCAGACAATGGTGAGGAGTCGATGACCTGGTACTTGTCCACAGCAGTGAGAAGCTTGCTTTCCAAACAGATTCGATACTTTGTTAAGGAGGATATTTGTAAGTGAGTACAATGATAATCCGAACCAAGAATAAATAGTACTGGGGTACATAGCAAAAGTCAGAATGTAAGGTTGTTGGAAACTTCCCCGGCTGGACAAGCATGATTGCTTTCCCTGACCACTTGGGTTTCTTGTGACCACCGTCTCCTCCCCCCCAACATGCTAGGTACGTGATGAGCGGCAGCCGCCACGCCCGCATGAACGCCGTTCGTCTTCGGAAGGAAAACCAAGTCTTCAATGCCGAGGAACGTCGTGCTCTGGCGTTGATCATGTTTGAAGAGAAGCAACAGAAGGAAAACGAAATATTGGGGAACTTCAGGCAAATGTTGACCGAGGTGAGAGGTCCCAACGAAGCAAATGTAGTGTACGCGGACTCCTTTTTCGCCAGTGATGAAGTAGGCGAGTCTCGTAGGCAAAAGAGTTGTTTCGGCCCCTTGTTGCTGCGACGTCGATTGGGAAGAGTGTTCAGTGGCGGTGCAAATGGTGTGTGGATTTTGAATACGGGACGCAATCGTTTAATTGCTCCGCTGTAGGGCAGCTTGTGTTTGCTTGCCCTTCGCGTCCCACGTACTTGCTTGAATCGACGCAGGTATCACGTGCATGCCATATATCTGTGTTGAGTTGCCCCGAGTCCCCTAACCACACATCCCGTCGTGCTTCCTTGTGTGCAACCAGTCAAACCAAGAGGGAGAGAAGCCGACTGGCGAAGGCTCCAGTGCAGCATGATCCGGGCATACTGCAGCCTTTTGCTCCGAGCACGCGAGACCCTGTTCGTCCATGTTCGCCACTTAGTCAAGACACGCGAGCGTAGCCCACGTTCTAAGAGAAACACCGCAAGGGGATGATGATTGCGGGTTGGGTTTTGCCCAGAGCTGAATTGGGAGCTGGGTGCTGAGTCTCGAGTTAAGGTCGCAGACATCCTACACATCAAACGGTGTAAGGGGGTTGGTTCGAGAGCGAGGCATAGGACAGATGCCAAATTCTCTCGGCATGCAGAGGCACCTCTGGGCCTCTGGTCATGTCTTTTTAATGTGAAGCCAACAACAGTGGGCTCTTTCTTCTCGTGGAACTGCTGCAGCTAGGTTGCCCAAGACGCGCCCACGTCGTTTCTCGGCAAGACTGGCCTCGAAAAGACCAATACCGCACAAGCTGTTGGGGAGATGTTTTTCTTGCCATGTCCATGACGTGGTGCCCCGAGTATGATTTGGTAGGGAGTCGCAAACCATGACCCCTACCCGAGTTTGAGCATCAGCTTCCTCCTCCTGTGGCGGGCAAGACTGGAATTTGTCTGTGTCACCACCGAACAACAGTTGGACAGTTGAACAAAGAGGGTCCGGTCAGCCGGAGTTTTTTCTTGTATTTTCTTGCCCGCTGCCATGTATTTGATGATATTGTGATGTCGAGCTACAGTAGTGCAAATCTCACGGCGCCTAGGCTTTGTCTATTTCGCCATGTCGCCATCCGCGAACAGCAGTTGAAGACGAACAAAAACAGAGTCCGCTTCGTCACGAAGAACCAGTTTTTTCGAATCTTGCTGGTGAGGGATGATGCTTGAATGCGTCGGGTGTAACTGTGATATTCCTTTATCAAATGAGACTAAACCTTTTGATGTTCAGTTTTCTTATCTTAAAAATGATAATTCTGTAATAGATAATAACATTCCTAATTCAGAAGGTAATCGTGAAGCTGGAAATCCTGATGATAAAAAAGGGCAAAAAAAACGTTACTAGCTTGAATTCTAATAACCAAAAATTTATTAATAAATATAAACAAAGACCTACTCCTTCCCATCCAACAAACATGTGAACAAAATTATCTGCAGTTACTAATATTAACATAAAAAACATAAATAATGATAAGTAACTCATAAACGAGGTAAATGAGGATCTGTGTGTGATCTTGAGGGATAGGGTCGACGGCAGCACATTCATGTGCGAAGTAAGCTATGCGAGGGATCAACGCCTTGCTCGCGTAGCGATGCGCATTTCCCAATCCAAGCAAAATAGAGTACGTCATCATGAGAGGGAATACAGTCCGCTTATAACAACATATTCGCCTGATTGAGAGCGAAGTATCTGATTGAGAGCGAGAGCCAAAAAAATTGAAATTTCGGGTCCAGACGCCTCTTGCCATTTCTTGGCAAGTAGGGGACGGGCTATTCCAAGAAGCGGTGCAAATTGAAGGTCTCATCAGCAGCTTCGCGAGCATATGCGTGTCATCGTCATCGGATGCTGCAGCGAGGAGCTAGACAAGTTGCTAGATTTGCCCAGATTGGCTATTTCTGCTCAAACTGTTTCAGGGCGGTATCGCGTCGGGCGGTGGGCTCTGCTGTAGCTTCTGCTCCCCGCTGTAGCTCCACAACGAGAGACTCCCACAGGATGACCAGGGTAGCGGCTTGAAGCTACGGGCTAGCCCTTCAATTCAAGCTACACAGCAAGCTCCACCTCTCAGTGGTAGTCCGGCTACAGCGTATCGCGCAATCTCGCTCTCAATCAGATGCTACGCTCTCAATCAGGCGAATATGTTGTTTTATCCGGCTGCTGCATGTGAGGTTATTGATGCTGCCTGCTGTTTGCTGCAGCACATGGAAAGCTTCCGGTGGGTCAGAGCGGCAAGGATGCCTTGTTTCTTCACTCCGCTCTCTTCTACTTTGTTTCCTGTCGCCGTCTGTCGTGTCTCTTTTTGTCGCCCTTGGTTCTTGCAAGGAACTGACTGTTAGGGTCCCCCACCCACCCACAACCACCTGTATATTTGGTGGTCTCCAACATATACTGTAGTGGTCTACCACAGGCGCTCCTACTGCGTCGAAAAGGGGCATGCAACAGACGAGCGCCGGATGCTGGTGGCCTTCTGACCTGATCGTGCAGAGAGAGGCTACAGCCACCACAATATGACTTTTTGCCATGTCCATGACGGGGAACGCGTACGCTACTCTGATTCCCCTCTCTCCCGTCCGGCTCCTAGGGTTTCGGGGAGGAACCTAACCTAACAATAAACACCTGGGGTCCGTATTCATTCACACTGTCTAGGTTTCTTTCCGAGCGCGAGGAGAGCGCGTGTTGGTGGTCTGCTTGATTTCGGTGTGATCTTGCGTACGTACTAGACAGATCAGCAAGCATGGCCTTGCGAGATTCTTGACGGCGTGGAGTACCTCGCCATGAAAAGTGCATACGCAGGGATGGGCGTCGTGACACGCAAGTACCCTCTCTCCGCTCAGGGCCGTTCGAAGACTGGTCTTTTCGGGTGTGCGTGAGGTCGTCTCTAACTTCTTCGCGCGAAAACAAAAAAAAATCGTTGTCTCATCAACATGGTCAACCAACTAGCAGCAGTACTGGTACTGCTGGGTTCATCCGTGAATAATTGTTGGTTCGTGCTGTTCTCTAATCAGTAAAGTCTAAATAGACATGGACTAAACCCGTAACGGTTCACCAGCTAATACGAATGGACGCCTTTCTGCCGTACTCACAAACCAACTACAAATTGCACACAAATACCATCATACACTCAAATGGAGGAATGAGCGATGAGATCTTTCGAATAGGAAATATGTACACACAGGTGGCCAGTGGGCACGATTGTACGGGGGCTTTGTGTAACCTCCGGCCAACCAGGGGTTATAACGTGGGGGGGTTACAGACCGAGCGGGCATAACGTACCGGGTTATGAAAGCGGTCACGCGCGGATTGGTGTGAAGGAGGAGAAAAGAAACAAATATGTGTGAGCCTTCCCCTCCCTTGCTACACTGTGTTCCACCCTTGTCTGTATTGTATTTACGCAATGCATCGGCAGACAACTTTACTCTACTTCAAGATGATCGGTGACGAAAACATACCGCGGGGTGAATCGAACCAGCAAATTTGACGGATGACCGCTACGCTACATGTTGAAGAATGTCTGGCTTTGTTGTCAAACTCTACTTGTATTAATCTATAATAGGCGGAAACAATGGTGGCAACACCACCCACGCGGCCGATAAGAGCACACTTATACTCTGCGGTCCACCCACGCAAAAAGCAGAAACTCCGAGTAATGTCTTCCATCACCAATGACAAGTTTTTGGTCAGCTAAATTTTTATGTTCCACAGCAGCAACAACATACATAAGAAATATAGAATCATTTCATGCTGAGCGCGCAATTCTTTTGAGCAGAGATTATATTGTGATGTATTAATCCGATATTCGACCACTACTGTTGTACATTTTTAAGGAGACAGACGCACGTACGTACGTGTTGTCGTATTGACTTTTACAGAGAGAGGCAACGTACGTAATCATAGCATATATATCATCGCCTACTCTCTCTCTCTCTCTTTCTCAGTCTTTGCTTCGCCCCCCCATCGTTGCCGTGCGTATTTCTACGCAACAATATATATATATCAAATAGAGTAGGTCCATGTCTATGTTGCTTCCGGCACTACATCATGATCAAAAGATGAAGTTGGCGCTCGCACTTAAGAACTTGGCAGTTAAGAAATGGGGCCTCGAAAAAAATCAAAATCAAAGAAACTGGCCACATAGACAAATAATAATAACAACACACGTGCGTGCTTAGGTCCGACGTGGTGTTAAATAAGGACGAACCCGCCTTTCATTGTGGTGTAAGAACAGAGCCCCCCAAATGCGACAGCTGCAAGATATCATGAGCACTCACAAAGGGGTGAGGGGCTACTCGCGGGGTGACCGGTGGGCAGTTAATTGCAGATCAGCGGCGAGGAGGAGGTTCCTTTGAAAATATCACTGGTGGTGCGTAGATGGGGAGGGTGTACTGTTTTTATTTTTGCGCGTCAAATGGTAGTCAACTATAAAAAAATCGGGCTTACAAATGCCGGCACTCTGGAAGCTTTTATTTATTGCCGCGAATGTCCGATGAATCGGTGTGTCGTGTACACTGTGGACCCGACCGACCGACTTCATCCACCCTACCGCTAACCCAACCCATTGCGACCCCAAAACACAACCCAACCATCCAACCGACCGACCGACCGACATCCCGACCGACCCAACCCAACCCTACGCTACCCTACCTTCTCACCCAACCCAAAACACAACCCAACCCGACCGACGGACCAACGGATCGACCGACCGACCCAACCCACCCTACCCCCAACTCAACCCAGTCCGATCCGAAAACACGACCCGACCAACCGACCGACCGACCGATCGACCAAACCTACCCTACCCAACCCAACCCAACCCAACCCACAACCCAAAACCCAACCCAAACCCAAGTGACCTACCGACCGACCCAACCCACGCTACCCCCAACCCAAAGCAATCCAACCCCAAGAGACAACCCTAACAACGGACCGACTAAACCCACACTACCTTCTACCCTAACCTACTCAACCCAACCCGAAAACCCATCAACCCGACCCCAAAACACAACCCACCAACCGACGGACCGACCGACCGACCGACCCCACCCTACTCTACGCTACCCTTCGCTAATACCCCACCCAATCCAACCCAACACACAACTCAACCCCAACCCGACGGACCAACGGACCGGCGGACCAACCGATCGACCCAACCCACCATACCTCAACCCAACCCCAACCCGAGCCCGAAACACAACCCGATCAACCGACCGACCAAACCCACCTTATTCTATCCAACCCAACCCAACCCAAAACGTAACCCTATCCAACCGACCGATCGATTGCGCCACAGCAGCGACGGGATGAAGATTGTTTGAAAAGAATGCCAGACGGATGAATAGGTCTTCCTTTCCGATGGAATCTTCTGGTGTTTTTATAGCAAGAACAACAACACCGCATCCTCGACTCTTCTTTTGTAAAGCTACGCTACAAAGTAACGTAGCCAGGTCTGCCGTTTGTTTTTGTTACTGTTGTGTGATTTCGATCTACCCATCAATGATGCGCGAGACGTGTGCTTCACACGGGAAGGGGCCGAGATCTATCATGGGTCTCTCTTCCCGATGAAATCTTCTTCTGTTTTCACGGCAACAACACCCCGCATAGTATGTGTATGTCCCGAATTACTTTTCAACACGATGAACAGCGCATCCGCCCTGACTTTTTTCATTGTTTCGTAGACAGAAACGGCCTAGCCGCGGCTGCTGTTTTTGTTACTGCTGTGCGACATCTCTTCATCTATCATATATTGTGGGTGGTATAATGTGCTGTGTAGTTCGGCAGGTGGAGACGAGATAGCCGATCCCTTCCTGCATGAATTGATCGCCTGCATGATCTTTCGGCGCATCTTTTTCGGTTTCAAAACATGAACTCTTGTTGTGCAGTCTAGCCAATGCGGCTCGTGGCTCTGCTATTATGCTGTTTAAATGCTGTGTGAATACTCTCTATATATGATTTCGCTGGAATAAATATACGCCTGCCTGTAGAAAGAATCCGTCGGGAAGTCACATCTATCTCTCCTGGCACACAACAATCCATTTATTTTGGAAGGAGGGACTTACAACAAGTACTGTCGTCTACGACCTAACCAAGCAGTATCATGTATCACAGGGTACGAAATAATTCAGAACACACAGGCAGAGAGAGCACGCTGTTTCGTAGCACCTTTCCCTGTCAACTGCTGTACATACGTTGCATATAGGTACGTAAAAATACGCGGATGGATTGGATTTTTTTTTTGCGG